TTTCGGTTTGTGGGTTTCCTCATTTCTATACTTTAATATGAACTTTCGGGGATATCCATTCTCGATGAGGTTCTTTTCGATGACGGCAAGTTCTTCTTCAATAGTGTCTTCCGAACATATTTCTTTGGCTCTGCTGAAGAGCGTTTTTACTAGACCTCGTTTGTAGCTGGTTGGGCAAAAGCTGTGATAATTTAAGTATTGACCAGTCCAGGTTTCTTTCCTGTAGATAGATTTTTGAATCGTCCCGTCGTTTCTTCTTTTTATGTTGACATCAAGGAAATGGAATTGGTTGTTTTTTTCGTAGTCGATTGTGAATGCAATATTGGGATGAGCTGCATTGAGTTTCTCAAACATTGCGAACGCGTGTTCTATATCATTGCAGACTACGAACGTGTCGTCGACATATCTGCAGTAATAGGTGGTTCTATCTATTTCTTTTTTCATTCGAGTCTGTTCAAGATGAGCCATGAATATGTCAGCAAGAACAGGACCCAAAGGTGAACCCATAGCCACCCCGTCAATCTGCCGGTACAGCTGATTGTTGAATCGGAATTGAATATTCTTTGTGCATAGAAGTAGCAATTTTCGTAGCTCGTTTTCTGGAAGAGGAAGTAGTTCGGACTGTTGGCATATGATTTTAACCGTTTCTTCGATGGGTATGTTGGTAAACAGTGAACAAACGTCGTATGACACGAGAAGTCTATCCGAAATATCGAGTTGATCTAATTCTTGTGAAAACTGAAAAGAATCTTTGATACTGTGAGTTGCCAGCTTTTTTCGAATGGGTTCCAGCTTTTGGGCCAACCATCTGGCCCAAACTTATAATTTGATGTTGTTTAGGATGTATGCAGTTGATGAGAATCCACGAAATAAAACGAGCTCGTATTATCCTGCGAACATGTTCGTTCTTTCTCTCTTCAAATTCATCAATTATTTTGCCTTTGGTACAATTTCAACAAGACTTTGGAAGCAGATATTCCAAAGGGAAAGATTTATACCTAAGAGAAATAAAATGGCGATCATTCTACAGTGAAAAAGCTTGTATTAGAAAGAGAATAAATGCTAAATGATTACTGAAAATGTTTCGATTTTTGAATGCAAAAAGTCAATGAATAAGTCTCTTATTATAGGAAGGATTCTTAGTTAATTTTTAGTAGTCCTAAACAACCAATCCTCATTTTAAAATGCTTCGCTGCCACTCAGTAAACACTCACATTATTCTCGACTATCCCTGTTTCACTTTGAAACCACTGGTGAAAACAGCAGATACAAATAGGCCACATTCCTTGGCCAAAGATTCGTTCAACACTTTGCTCAAGTCAAGTGAAGCAGACTAGGCCTAAAATATTGGGTGATAATCGGTTTACCTAGATGTGATATTTAGCTGATAAAAGTTGCCGGACTTATTTAGGCACAATCAGCAATTGTAATCCTAAATTTAAAAATGTTTGGTGAAGTAAGGATAAACAGAAAAACGGGTAATGATGATTATACGATACAATTAGTGTCTTTCAGTTTGATTCATGTACAGAGTTGCTTAGCTGCTTTTCTCAGTCTTCTTGAAACTTAAATAAAATGGTATAACATCTTTCAGCTTACTTCGCATTCATTCATTCCTAAGCATGTTCAAAGTTCCTAATACCTTTACGAATATTCATTGAATTTTCCTTTCTTCTTCCATTTATATGTTTATTTATTTGGGTATTTTTCTCCGTATATCCTTTCATTTCTGTGTGCCATTTCGAAAGTTCCAGTTTTTAAGGCAACTTTCAGTAAAGTCCACTTTAATTTATCAAATTGTTAGTAATAGCTTTTGGATGGTTAATTCATTGTCGTACATTTCTGTTTATGACAAAGTCTATGAAAAAAACATTTGTTTTCCAAAGACTGACAAAGTCGTCCAACAGTAACAAAGTTCATCTAACTTTTAACTCAAGATTATTTGCAGTTTGCACTAGGGTCTTGTGTTGTTCGGCTTAGTGATCACATTACCCATATACCTGATAAATATTAAAGGCCAGATAAATTCTGTAACCTTTTTCGTTGGCTGGCTTGCACAACACTATGGGTGTCATATTATCCTGAGACTTGATTTTTGTCGTCATAAGCCTTTAAACTGTGCAGGTTAGTTTCAGCGATACCTCTGTATTCTCACAATGAAACTAATAGTGTTAAAAACCCTATAAAGAAAACATCGTGAATTATATGCAGTAGAAGAGTATGCATTTAGATGGGGCTTTATGCTAATATACAACAGATAAAGTTTCATACACAATATATTGTAGTATTCAAATATTATTATAACTGTCGGCAGGCAGGTCGGACTGTGAAAATTTGGACTGTTGCCTATGGTTTCATGGTTTTGCAACTCCATTTAACTTTAACATTTCGTCACAAAACGAACATAAAAAGATTCCGTCTGTTTATTTCTTGCATCAAAATAGTATACACCTATCTCTTCATTAGACACAGATATTAGTTCCATATTAGATAACTAGCAGTGGAATCCAGGATGCGCATTTCGTCCTATTTGGGACTCGTCATCTGGATGTACCTGCATTTCTCAGTGAGTGATGATGTTCCCACTGAGGCTCGAACCCAGTGCCCATAGTTTCAAGCATCATCACTCACTGAGAAATACAGGTACATCCAGATGACGAGTCCCAAATGGGACGAAATGCGCATCCTGGATTCCACTGCTAGTCACCATCCACAGATTAAATTCTAATTTAATGCTTAGACATCGTCGAAGCATCTGCACAAGAAGCCAACATGTCAACCTGAGACCGAGCACTTCGGTCCAATCAATCGACGGGAAAATCAAAAAATTCAATTCCATATTAGATAAGTTTAAATATCACACTCTGATGCAGTATTAACAACTTTAATTCATCCCATCCAGAATCGGTATGGATAGGTTTAGTTATATGTTTGTGTATTCAAACCAATAGTCTAACTAGTAAATTAGCAGGTTGAAATAATGAAGTCAAACAAATGAAGGAAATGTAACTAGTGGATAACTACCCACCAGAATCTATTCAGAAGTATATGAAGAGCCACAGAAGAAATAAGACTGATATAAATAACGAAAATACAGAAGAAAATAATACAGAATTAAGAACCTCTGTAGTACTGCCGTACAAAGAAGGAACGTCAGATGCCTTTCGTTGGATTCTCAATGAGGCTGGGATTAAGGTGGCGTTTAAACCAACCAAATCTTTCAGAGATAAACTTTGTCTATCGGCTTTAGGACCCAATATATCCAAATGAGAAAAAACAATACAATGAAGGTTCTTGTGTTTCCCAATTAATGTAGTTTTTACTGACGTTTCGCTACTCAATGCTAATAGCTTTATCAAAGTATTATTAAATCAGAATTCACAAAATCTCAGCTTATATGTGACAACTTGACCAGCGATTCTCAACATGGGGTGATTTTCACGTTTTCAAATTGGCCAAATGATAAAGATAACAAAACCAGGCGTGTAAAATCATAAAAGCAGAGTGTGTTTACATAATGAAGTTGCTTATCACATTCGTGTTGATTTCATCGTTTCATGGGGGAGGAAAGTGTTGTAATCAGGTCAGCTTCTGTTTCAGTCCATGACTCCTAATTAGACAATTTGGATTCCACTTTATTTAAAGTGCTTCTGATATTAGACGTTCTTTGGGATTTCTGAAATTTTTCTGGATTATTTCAATATTGCTAAAATCAATTTCTTGGCCTGATTCTATAATGTATGGACCTATGGCTGATGCCTTTTCAAGCTTTTCTTGTTCAACTAGATTTCTCGGTGGTCTAACAGAAGCTATACGATGTTCATTTCACCCGATTTCGACTTTTCTCGATGTTTGTGCGATGTATATCGCATCATATTCCGAGCATTTTATTTTATAGACACAATTAGACAGAAAATCTTTAGGGATTTGGTCTTTCATATGGACAAGGTTGTTTCGCAATGTGTCTGATGTTTTCAAGAAAACTCTGATGTCAAGCTTATTGAGTACTCTTCTGATATCGTCTGACGTCTCCGCTCTGTATGGGATGACAACATTTTAGGTCCATCTTTTCGGGATAAGTTTTCGGCCACACTTAATGTCCGTGTTGATTATGTTGATGAATTTCTCTGGGTAGTTGTTTTGCTTGAGAGTATCAGTAACGTTTGATGTTTCTTTTTCTTTCTCATCCGCTGTCAAAGAGTCTGCTCGTTTTAGAAGACCTGAAACAACTGATACCTTTGCGCTGATAGGGTGTGATGGCTTGAAGTCTAAATATTTATTGGAGTGATTTTTCTTCCCGAATGGCTGATGACTTTTCAAGCTTTTCTAGTTCAACTAGATTTCTCGGTGGTCGAACAGATGCTCTAGGGTGTTCTGATTTGTTGGAGCGGGTTTTCTTCCTGAATACAGAAATGTATTATAATGTCTATTCCCCCCCTCCTAACTAGACAGTCTAGGAATGGTAGTTCACTGATATCTGATTCTGCTCCCTAAGTAAACTGCATTCTGGGAGATAGATTGTTTGTTTTCTCCAAGAATGGATTGTGTAGATCTCGTTTTAGCAACACGAAAGTATCATGAACGTATCTTAACCATATTGAGTATGCTTGAAAAGATTAAATTCTAATTATATGCCCAGACATCGTCGAAGCATCTGCACAAGAAGCCAACATGTCAGCCTGAGACCGAGCACTTCGGTCCAATCAATCGACGTAAAAATCTCAAATTCACCTGAAAATTAATAGTTACAACTTGTAAAGTAAACCACAACTAAAAGAAACAAATTCAAGAACGCTGTGTAAGAATTGCTGTTTTTACGTTAAAATGCGGTTCATCAGTAAGGAAATTATATATGATAACATTCTGCATGATTTTAAATAATGTATTGCATGTTAATGAAGGATTTTGTATTTCCCAATGTATGAAAAATAAAACGATATATGAATATCATATACCCAATGCCCAAACTTTTTTCAAACTGTTAAAAGTGAACTTGGTTTGGACATATATAATTTATTGCATGATATCAAAGTTGATTTACAAATAAACAATCAAGTTTATCAAATATCAGTCAGAAGAAAGGTTGATTTAGCAGGTAACTGTTATTGACCATCCAGAAGGTTACCTGGTCTTTAGTAATTTCTATGAAAATAAAGTTCATCTTTACTAGTTGACAAGAAATCAATTCAGAAAAGGAATTACAATATTATGGGAAAACCACCACCCATCGAATTTTAAATGGTCTCCATCTTTTCTTAGGAAATGTAAGTCACCTCTTTTGTCAAGAGTTTGAAGACCTAAACGATCCTGTTTTGTAAAAAATTATAAAAATTTTACTTTTTAGAACTGGTAAAATGTTTAATACTTTTATTCGAAACTTATTAAATTTCATTTCATATGTGAAACAGTATGATAATGTCTTTTCGCACACAAAACCATCGATTTATTAAGAAACTAATAAGAATAAAGATGTGTGTTCATAGAATAACTGTTATATAACCTAAACACAATGAGTCCAAACCAGGAGATAGAAAGAGTATACTGCATAACAATCTTTTGTTTTGAGAAAATATCCCTAAGACTGATTTGATTTACTGTAGATTCAAAATAATATCTTTAAGTTGGTAGTTGATGTGCTGTTATGTAAAAGACATAATTCTCCCATCTGTTTTTGGAGCACCAACCTCTTCGAAAGATGTATTCAGCAGCTGGCAGTCATTTTCAACGAAGTAGTACATAATGCTTTCATAGGTGACTAAGAACATGAAGATTTTCTGTTATACTTTTTAAACATTTGAAGGGTAACAGGTTATATTTAAGTCTTTCACTCCTACATAAAAAATTTACATGTTGTCTTACTAATTTTTATCATGCTAAATACTCCTCCTTCATTCCTACTTATGGTAATATGGTTCAAGTTTGATGACGTATTCATATCAATTAGACAATCACTGAAAATCAGGGAGAACTAGACAGTTGTTTCGTCCTTGTTTGAGAATAATCGGTGGTACATAGCTGTTGGGCTTTTAAAGCTAGACCTTCTGGTTATAAGGAAAACTATAAGACCGTCCAGTCACTGGCACCCAACACAACAGCCCATGAATTCTAAATTCTACGAATTCGTGATTTCACCGCATTCACCAGCCAATGTCTTCGGTGAGTACATGTCCTCACTCCCGGATAGACCTTACTGGTCACGACTTATAGTGACATACTGTACAACTGAATTTTCTGATAAGTTGACGTTATAAGGCAAAAAAGTCACTTACTTCAGTATATAGAGGACTATCCTCTAGTTTGGTTACATTTGATGTTGTACCACCTTGGTAAAAGCCGAACAACTGTAAATTAAAATTAAAACATGGGAAAAATTACTTTATTTTTTAGATTATTCACCATTCTTTAAAAACTACACTTATTCAACAGTCTCCATTTGCCGAATTATTTAGCAGCCATAAGTGATTCGAGTCAGCTTATGTAATTCGGCTCCCTCAGAATATCTGATAAGCACCTTGAATGAACATCCGTAATCTCAAAATTATTCCTAATTATACAGTTGCTAAGCAGAATTAGAACTTGGAGATATGCTCTTGTGAATATTAAACACTTACTGTGAAGTTGTGTGAATAGTAAGATGTTACTTTCATAGTCACGGGAGGAAAATTACTCAGGAACTGATCAAAATGGAATCGGTCAAACTATTGCATATACTAGAATCTAAAAAATGATGATATGAACAGGATTAATTCATCTGCATCCATCTTTCTACATTTGGTAAAAACTGAATTACTTTCCTATTAACAGTGCAACAGTAACAAACTGAGCCATAAAACAAGATACTGTCTTATTGCGTTGAGCTTTGTCGTCAATTTCAGACAGTCTGAAAGGCTTTAAACATTAATACACAAAATGTTCACATACCTTAGTTACTTACTGTTCGTGAAGATGCATACTACAGCGAAAATCACAAAAGGTGATATCAAGCTTATCAGGATATATAGAAGTAATAACAAGAATATTCCAGTGTTAGGAACGTGTGATAGTATTTTTCTCTCAGTTTATTGTCTCCCAGGTGTCTAAATGAGCGTTCTGCTATATTATGAACTCAAGTTGGAAACTGATCAGAGGATGAAAATTAATAATACGTCTTAATCAAGAGATAACTAATTTAGTTCGGTAGAGTTTAAAAAATAGTCAGGTAGGGGTATGGAAAGGAATAAAAATTAACAACATGAATTTACTTCGTTCAAAGTGAGTATGATCATATAAACATAAAATATACTCATCGTAATAGGACGAAATTCACAATAATGCATTTCTGAATGCTCATGTTTGGTTTAAACTATCTAGAGTTAGGATGGATAATGCTAACCACTTCATCACACCCACAATAAAGAATTTCGCTGAAGGAGCAATAAGAAATACTAAAGAGTCTCAAATATATCGATTAGATAGTGATATTAAAATCAGATAAAGATTAGAATGCCCTAATGATAAATAAAAAATGCTTTCTCGAAAAGTGACAAAAAGATTAGATAGAATTATACAGATTTTGAAGGAGTACACTATGAAGGATTCGAGAAATATTCCAACAAATAATCATCAGAAGCCCAAGAAACCTGATCGGCTTTATACCAATAGCTTGTCAGAATTACACAAGCAACGGAATTTGTACTACTTATCTCATATCTACATGATACTTGAAAGTGGTTTGTTTGCCCACCCTCTTTTTGTCGTTCAGGTATGTACACCAAGAAGAGATCACTTTACTTATCCCAAATACGGGACAATATAGATGTTTTGAAAAGATTTATACAGACCTTTGGAGAATCCTTATTTCCAAATGCAATTCTTTAGAAAATCGTAAGTATTAAATGCCATAATTCTGTTCGTTCTTCTGAGCTGACATCTGAATTCAGTATAAAAATAGATTCCATAGTCAAGTGGTGTGAAATTCACTGGATCTTGTACTGTCAGCTGTCTTTGTAAAACGTCCTCCAGGATACAAAAGAAAGAAACAAAATCTTACATCAAATTTGCTGGAGATGACCTAAATGTACGTAACGAATTATCCCATATACATCACTCTTTAGAAAAATTAAATGACACTGACCTCCTCAAAAATATGGAAATGACTGAAAATTCAACTTTGTGATTATTTCTCTACAATCTGTTTGTTATTTCACTGGTAAATTACCAGGTACTCTACCCTCCACTTATGCATATCAGCTTAGGTGTGGTTGTCGAAGCTGATACACTGGAAGAATAAACTGAAGAGCTTGTCTTAATTTTTTAAGTATATTTCTATGTATATTTCTACTACTATCAGCTGATGAAACTTTGATTGCTAAAGTCACTCGATACCAGACTGACACAAGACATCAGGTCAAGGTTTGGGATTATAAGACTATTAACATAATGTCGAAGTCTTCTGATGCTTGATGAAACTAACACCATAGAACTCTCACATGTGGCCTGTGTTCGAAAAGAATCACTAATAATTCTTTGCTTACACTGATAGCTTTGTCTCCTGATTTTCTATTTCAGATAATCACCTCATATAATAATAAATGCGAATAATGATATTGTTTCACTCTCATTATGATACATTATCATTGATTTAACTCCATTTCTTCATATAACCTGGATTTAGTTTTGTGATTTTAACTGACTATATTTTTAAATTGTAGTTTGACAATTTTTCTAATGACTTAGTTAACCGTGTGTCCTTAAATATCTTCTAACTATCTTCAATTTTTTATCTCCGGGAAACTTCAGCTGCACTTCACACATAATTGTAACAATTCATAATACTTCTCTTTGGGCGTTCTAATGATGCCTTGAGGTAGACACAGTGACAGTTGCTTGAGACCAACCATTTCGGTCCAATATAACAAGTCAGTGGGAAATTCACAATAATAATTTTTGCTGATAGCAACCAGCGCCCGTTATACAACAGCAACGCTCGAGTGGCTCAGTGGCATCGTGGATGAAGATTTGGTATTCTTGGTTTCAAGTTCCAGTCTCAAAAGTGCTACCTGTCAGATACAGGTACACCTACCTGGAGAGTCCAAACAGAACCAAACGCGAATCGTGAATTCTTTCAATAACCACCAACTACCAAATAACACCATCTGTAATACTTCACCAACTCCCAATACACTCTGTCAAGTGGATATTTCTTAACTATTGTTAGACTACTACCTAATATGATTATTCAAAATGCCAGTGAGATAAAATAAATTCACTTTATTGCGTTTTAGTTGTCTTCATTGATCTTTCAATTAAATATTCACTGTCAACACTTAATTAAATGAGTAAATATCACAAGAAGTCACACTGAAGAAAATAATTAGTACCACAAACCAACTGTTGATACAAATTGTGGATGAAAATGTTTGTAATCGCGAAGTTTATTGATTTCAGCCTGAACCCATGATAAATGAATTGTTTTATTTCATTTTAACATGCAACACACAGGTGATAAGTTTGACCCTGAAGAGTATCAGTTTTAAAAGTGTTTAAATTGACTAGCATACTCTTTCCACACTTTTAAACGTTCTCTTCCAGTATACACCAGAATTATAAATAACGTTAATTTGGACTACTGTTATTCAGTTAAAAAAAATACAAGTTACTGATACTAAATATTTAATATTCTAGAGGTAAAATCCTCCTGTGCCATTTAGTCTGCTTAAACTCTATGAATATCAGCCTCTATAATTCTAAGTCTGGTTGCGAGGATATTTTTGCGACAAGACTATTCTAATGGCCACTAGTAAGGATATCAGCAGAAGACTAAGTCATCGTCAGATGAGAATACCTTTACATTAGGCAGGGTTATACCGGTTTCGAACGACACTCAGACGAAACACTTAAGCCGTAATATGGCATATTGCCTTCGTATATTTGTTGATAGAAGTTTCATATGGCAAAAAGAACTTTTATAATCCTGACAATTAAAATATCCGTAATACTGGCTACACTAAATTTACATCACACAAAAGTTGCCGGGGAGAGATTTAATGATTGATTGGAAATGTCTTTTTCTTCAAACAATATTGATTCATCTACAAAATTCTCACTTCAAGTAATTAGTTCACGTTTTCCACGAAGCATATATATATAAGCAAAAATTATTCTTAGAAAATCCTGTAGCTTCACCTGGGTAGGAATTTTGTCTTAAAGATTCTTTTCGCCTAGAAAGTGGAACATTAGCACATACACTAAGTGTTCCATAAAATCAATCGTTGTAGACACAAGTTCTGACTTCAACATCCTCTATTCTTAAGTGTTTATTTATAAATAAATAGAATTGTTTATATTGTTAGAAAATTTTAATAAATGTTAACAGTATTGTAACACTGAAATGTTATACACACAATGGAGTATTGACAACAAGCTCTTATGGACGAATTTAAAATGAAAAAATTTACCATATACCAATTACCAACCAGTTAAGGACTCGACAAGTGTCACTGAATTTTTACCAATTTATCATTTTTTCTAAGACAATAATAATAAAATAACTCGAAACAGATATTCGAATAGGTTTACGATATAACAGATAGGTACTAGTTACGCACTCGCCTAACTCAATGCACACCTTTAGGGATTATTTTGAAGTCTGAAATCATATATCACCTCTGTCACACAAAAATATATATGCCACTGTGAGCTTTCAGAAACACAACCTCTTGTTACTGTCGAACTCTAAGATTTAATCCATGATTCAATGAAGTATATCGAATCTAAATGTAAACTTCCAGAGTACCCTGTAAGCGCATATGCTTGCTTCTGAATTGTTATTCAAGTAAAGGCTAACACAAATGGATAAGATAAAAAGAAAACGACAACCATAGGCTCATACTTCCTAAATTTTGAAACACAACTAGGAGTCAGGTATTGATTAGTGCAAAATCCTAATGAGACACATCATCCCCCAAATTTATAGCAAGCTTCAGATATTTATTCAAATATGTATGCATGATTTAAGTTTAATTCTAAATTATTTATACCTACCTCTGATTCTTTCGGAATAAGGATTGTATCGTTTAAAAATTCCACCAAAACCAACCGTTTTATATTTTTAATTCGCTCACGGTAAATCTCATTTATTTCCTAAAATGGATTGTCGTGCATAAATTTTAAAAAATTTATTAATTGCTTCCCATGAAAATATAATGAAAAAGCTGCTGTAATTAAAGAAGAAAATAGCATAGACCACTCTTATTTTATCTTAGTATACCTGAAGTCAACAAGGGTGGAAAACTAACGGCAGCATAGTTTGAATTCAATTTTGTTACTACTTACGACTTGGGCGTCTTATTGCCTAAAATCATCAGAACTATTCTTCGTCAATGTTCCCATTGTATTGACTTGAACGACTTCATATTTTTGACTTTCTCCATGTCTCTACATTATATATTTTTCATTACAGCTTGATTCCACACTGTATTTTGGTACAAGTATGGAATTTTCTGCAAGGATATCGGTAGCCCAAATTTTGCAGGCCAACCATAGATATCAGGTGTGTGTCGGCAGGAGATCGAACCTCGGACCATGTGCATGGTCGGCGAGAGTCCTAACCACTGTGCCACCGACGCACATATATATATACATATATATGCAATAGTTTCGATGGGTTGTCTAAGTGTTGTCGTTAAATACAAATTAATGAACACAGTTAATATACAGCTAGCGAAAATTAATTTTTCGAATTTAAACTCCTACGGTTGACATTAGATGGTTGGAGGCAGTCTTCAGGAAGCCTTGAACCTAGGCTTCGTGCTAGTCGACACTCGTTCGTAAGGCGTATCTGTAACCTCTAAGGAATTCATGTCCCTTCTGAGGTTCGGACTTGACGAGTGCCAACTAGCAAGAAACCTACGTTCAAGGCATCCCACCGGTTTTTGTCCGACCGTCTAATATCAACATTTCAAAGTGCACCGTGATGGCGGACCACCTAGCACGGAGGCCACATTGCAAACGTGACTGATAGAATTCAGCCTGAAACAAACGAAGGATTAGACACACTACACTAGTTACCGACTAGTGTCCATTCAAAGTAATCTCCTACAGTAAACTGCAATGTGGGTCTATTCGCCTGCAAAGACGATTCTTACACATGATGAAAAATGCGTAAATATCTTTTGTTCATACCTTTTTGCCACTCATTTATACATTCTGAGTAATCACAAACACTTATTTAGAAATTCTTTCCTTGGTTTAAAATGAAAGAAAGTAAATATTCCATAAAAGTTATAACACATACGATCTTATGAAAGAAACTAAGTTATTCATCAAATACCATCAGATTTTTAGTTGCCAATGTTAATTCAAATGTTACGGAAATAAATTTATTTGCCAATAAATCTATAGAATACATTTCACTGTCAGAATCTATACGGACCAGCTTTAGTTAAAGAATCGTAGAAAACTGAATAGCATAGAGAGGTTGTTTCGTTTTAGTTTGGAACTCTTCAAAAGTTGACATCCATTAGTTCATCAGGGATCGAATACACTAGTGTCATAATATGAAGTCAGTCTGTTAATATCCAACTACTTGGTTGAAATTTAATTTTCCGTGAGTTCTAATTTTTGTCGATTCAAATTATAATACCACTGCAATCCACTGTCGTTTCAATGTTCCTAGCCTTTTGTTTTTAGAAAGGCATTTACTATTAATTTATTCTCTCATTTCCCTGTAGAGACCGGCACATTTCAACCATCTACTTTCCTTCGGCATAGGTTTAGTTTCTTTGAATTGAATGACACCAGATAAATAGATCATAAGAGTATTATATATATATATATATATATATATATATATATATATATATATATATTCAGTTTTCTCTTAATATCCATTCAGCTATTACTTTCTCCATTCTCATATGCACCTGATTTCTGTTATTTCTTTCTCAATGTTTTTTTCACTTTGTGGCACCTTGAACTGATGAGTTCCTGTACAAAGTCATTTTCTGATATGTTAACGGACAAGGGAAATTTATTTTTATAACTGATAAGTTTTATTGTTAAAAACCACATAGATAATGTTTACATCACTGGTACTCACATTTTCTTGATTAATATCCGCCAAAAATTGTGAATATTGTCGATATACGTCTTCTTTTAGTGGATCATGCCAGTACTGTGCTTGGACCACACTTGTTAAGTAATCAATAAAAATGGCTTTTTTTTATATTAACATTAAGAATAAGTTGTAGCATCTAAATGTGTATTTTGAATATATTAGTGAAATGTAACAAATTAATATTATCATAAATCATAGCTAAACCTTTAGTTAACTGTTTAGCTGGTTGCCAGTAAGCAAGGATATGTAAAACAATTATTTCCATAACTTTATTAACAATAGTAATCGTATTGTTTATCATGTTTATGAGCCGTTTGCACAAAAATTGCTCAGTACTGACATTTACTACCTTGGTGTAAAAATGAAATAGTAGAGGAATCATATATTCGCAGCAACGTTTCACATAGGGTACACGCGTGGGAATGTGGCTAGTTGGCTTAAACACCTGGATTTCAGTTAGTGGGTCACTGGTTCGCATGTCGGTCCACCTACTTCTGTTTTAGCAAGTGGGTTTTATCATGAGCTCTCACATAATCACATAGCCTGATAACGAGTAGGCTAGTACTGACTAGTACATATATAAGCATAACTAAAATGAAATATAAATCCCTCTGAAATACTTACTACCCAATCTGATAACAAACTTGAAATCTCTTCAAACACTGTAGAAATATAAAAAAATGCAGTAATCAGTACCTTAACTCTAACCAGTATGTTTTAGTCCTCCTCTTAAATAAATGAATTAGGTGATTTTAAAATTTCATAACTGACTTTCTGATACAGAGTGGAGATTTAAGAAATTATGTATCCAGACTTGTCTTCCATATCCTGTAGTCAAACAGCAGGCTTTCTGTACTAATAAATATCTACAACTTTCACATTTAGGTCTTCTGTGTGTGACTAATGTCAGCAAATCATCACCTACGTTTTTCAGTCACTCCAATCAGTGTTGAGGCACCTAACTAACTTTCTAGCTGTATTCAAGTGAATAGTTCTCCTACGACTGTATAAGAATAATGTAAGACAGTGTTGTGACATCCTCTTTCGCACCCACCAGCTGCAATAGGGATGAAGCAAGAAATTGGTTCTGTGAGAAATCATCGATTTTCCTTTGAAAAGCTGGTAATTTTAACTTTCACTGCTGAGTTTGTCAGAATACCATACTGAAGGCGTCCGTGTAACTGCGGAAAACAGAGGTGACCACTACTCATAATTTTGTCCCTTGGCAGCACTAAATTCCACCACCAACACAGGCATTATTTCATCTGGCGAAACCTCACCACCATTCTCCAGCGGGACACTAATCAACTACTTCGCTGTAGAATATTTTATGTATACTGTTCGCTGAAAAATTCCAGTCCTCCTGGAATACTCACGTGGGCTTAAATCACTAATTATTCTGTGCACATCTACATGATATATGAGTTCGGTGAAAAGCCGAAGTAAAGTCTAACCAAGCACAATGGTAGCGCTAATCCTTCAATTCTTACAAGTATTGTGAATATTTCCTCTAAAATAAAGCGAAGAAAAACAGAAATGCTTTGATTCTATATGTGTTTAAGAATAACAGTGATGAATAAATAGCCAGATCTACTGTAATATTAGCTATTTTATGAAAATCTGAGATAAATGAATCAACCTGGTTTAAACAGTTGATGATCTCATTTTATAAAATGGATGCTACTCAACCCTGCTAACCAACATATGTAGGGATGTATAACCTAGTAACTTTGTTCTTTAGAAACTTATAAAACAATATATCACATCATAAAGAGAGCATTAAACTCTGTAGGACTTTAACTCTCTGATAAACGCGACTACCACTTGGTTTGTAATTCATGTTTTTCGCACACAAAATATCTTACAGCTTTTTGAAAAGTAATCCACTGACAAGCTGAAACTCAGATATAATGAATCAGTATCAGTGAATTAGGATAAGACATAACAGTTCACAAATAGAAATTTCTATCTTCCAAAATAGTATATAGTAGATGTCAGTGGGAAGCAAAAAAAAATAGTAAAAGCTGACAGCAGTAAAACAATAACAACCGGGGAAGAAATTGAACTAAGAAATAAAATCACATGAAATTATAAAAATAACTATCAACTGCGACAAGATAGTTATTACATTAATATGTAAGATTTAGAATTCCTAAAGCCATGTCAGCCGAAGTGTTGCACACCCAAACAAGAAGACTATAATTCGCCAACGACTACAAGAAGCTGTCAGATCTGTCTTAATCCAACCACTTCACTGCCTATGGTCTCGTGGTTTGCGTTAATATATTCAGTAATAACCTGTTTAATATAGCTTTTTCCTTTCAGTACCAACACTGTTTTCATGGTAGACGTGAGCCGCACCCAACAAGGAGTGTCGATGAAATAAAGAGCAGTTAAAGAGTCCTTTGAAGATACCACCTATTTATCTGTTCAAATACACAAAATTAAACTGGAAATAACGTGTTAGAAATAGTATGGGTTAGGGTAATAGGAAAATCTATAACCCTAAATATTCTGGGGGTCTTCTTAAAATGGCAAGCTTCAACTTTCTAGACAGTGTGTTTTTCCTCAATTTAAAATATATGAGAATAAATTTATGTATGGAAAATGGAATAAATGCATGTAATCGTTATGATAATATCCGTAATATCACATACTGACTCTGGATAAAGTGAGTGTATGCTCCGTAGGAAAGTAGTTCGTTCATTAGCAAGCAGGCTTGATTGAGACCTTCACCGGTGCATTTTGGTATACCAAAGATTCCTTGCTGAGGACCTCCGATAGAAACAACAGCACCGACATTCGTAAGATTACATTTTTGAACTAAAGCTCTGACAAATAATCCGCCTTGTGATAGACCAATCATATGCAGACCATTGGAAAAGTTTTTGTCTTCATGTAACATACGACAAACATAATCCAACTGATCATTAATCGGCATGAAATATGTATCTCGAATATCCTAAAATAAAATAGAAGCGACCATAAGAAACGACAGTGATTTCACGTTTCAAGTGAGAAAACAACTGCGCACAGTATCATATGAAGAACGAAAGACATACCAATAATTCACGCTGCATACAGTCAGTGCAATGTGTGTCACAGACAATGACTGAACAAAGATAAAACTCCAACTGATCAATAGTTAGCAATAATTGTTATGCCTCTAGTCCTTGGTCTGATGCAGACAGAACTGTACCCGTTAGGTTTGCAATTTGGTCACTAAGTTAGGTGGCTGTATTTTATTAACTATGTTACTGAATTTAAATTCATAAATACTTTAAGACGCTTCCGGGGGACTACATTCATTTAATGACCATCAAAAAAGACAAACTAGGTCATTCGAATATTATAATGTATATTTGTTAATTATTATTAATTGTTTACATAAAATTCATCTATTCCAGGAATCAGTCTCTCTTCATTCTCATGATTTTCGGCATGAATGTTATTTGAGTGTTTTTGTCTGTAACTGGAATTCTGGATGAATGGTCCATGTAAAATATCATCATTACCTTCATAAATTTCATATGTCTACAGAAGTCCTAAAATTTGGCGCAGAAATATAAAACACATAAGAATACAGAGAATACACTACACCGTCTGAAAGAAGTCTGAGAATATGTGTTTCTATAGTTTTAAAAGATAACTGCCTTATTATACTATAATGGAAGTTAGGTCATGCTTCAGTGAAAACACGAACAGTAGCCAAGGTCAAGTTTACACAGTCAGTGAGCTTAAAACGGGATCAAAATTATTTCTCGGAATCCACTACTGATCTCCATATACCCAAGATGACTACAATTATAATTCATATTTGGAAAGCCTTCGTAAAATAAAAAACACATGCGTCAATAAATTATGTTATCTTTTTAAGGGTGCAGCTGGAGAGAACAGGTGTGATAGCTTAAATCTAAAACGCGAAACAGAAAATAATCAGTTCATTTTGTAGACTAATTCACTCTTCAGTTATTAGAGACGAGTATTTTATCAGACAAGCACAGGTTTATGTTAAAGATTGATAGATGCTTGGCTGGTAGTATATTTATTTCAAATCTGAAGTTTGGCAGATTTTCGACGCGGTAACACAACTACTGCATTTTTCAGCTTAGTTTGAAGCCTGTCTTCTACAGGGATCGTTTATTATGAATGTTATAAGGAGGAAAAGAACTAGTTTCCATAGGCTCCTATAAAACTCTACTGTTTGGTTCTCTTTTATTCAGGTTTCTCAACATCCCCTTACCACTGTGATGATGTTGTATTTCATATTTACATCTCTTTTATATTTATAAACCTACTGTACTCTATGATCATACCGAGTTATTGAGTCTATGATTTCATATTTCCCTTGGTTTTAACTGCCTTCCTATCCAACCACATTTAGTAATGTGATTCAGAGGTCATTCTATTGTCCATAACTGGACTTCACAAATGCATTAAAGTTTAATTAACGAGAATCTAGATACCAGTGCCTGTATTTTCGAATATTCTCTTGTTGGCAAAGACGAAATTTCACTCTCTGAGTCCAAAAAATTTGTTCCTGTTAATGAACAGCACTGATTCATCTTACGACTTTATGGATATTTACTAACAAAAACTACTAGAAAAATCTTTGAAGCTGTCAAAAACTTCCATATCTGTATTAATTGTCCTTTAATCTCCACGTTGACCTGTTTGACAAGTTTTCATAGATTTCAGACTTGACTTATAGGTAAAATGTATCTTGCCTGCAACTGATTAAAAGCTTTGTCTAAATTTTCACTGCTTTACGACTTAGTTTAAAAATGAATGTGAATTTCAAAAGACTGATTAGTTTTCTTTTCTACAAATTCATCAGCTTCTAAGATTATATATCCACATTAGTCATTATTAGTGATAACGTTATTTTTTTATTTCATATAGTCAGCTCCCTCTGTTAGTTTGAATAAAGAAAGAAAGAACATATTTGTTGTCTGAAGGCAGCTGCCTTGGAAAGAGCATATTGAGCCGCTAAGCTTGTATGTGTTTACCAAACGACCAGTTTTTTAAGACGCTCAAAAGTGGACAAACGCCCATTTCATGTCACCTCCAACTGTGTCCACCAATTTGCGTGTACATGTCAAAGCACATACATTAAAAGAAAAGAAACGGGGTTACTGTTTGCATTTCTGTACACATACCATAAAAGCAGACACTGAAGGGCTCACAAGTATTAAATATTGCCATTATGCATCATGTGTAGGACACTGGTCTTGTCGGGAATAATCTGAAGGCGCTCAAAAAAATTTTTTTCCTTCACGTTCCCAGTGGAACATAGGGCCTCAAGCTAGTGGCTTGGAGTTTCTGTAGCAGTGTTTAATTTTACAGGGTGGGTTTGATAGCTGTATGCCCAACCTTTTCTCTTAACCAGCATTGTTTCTGGCTTATAGAGGTAAAGGAGTGCTTCGGCCGGGGGTCGAACCCCGGACCATGTGCATGGTAGACAACCGCTGTGCCACCGACGCACGTTCGGAAAAATTAACGAGAAAAAACACTTAGCCCTGCTAAGTTTTTGTTTAAGTAATCGCCATCAAACCGAATCTATGTACGCAAAAAGAAACAGCGCTGAATCTGTCATTGTCTTGGTGATAACAAAGTATACATATTTTACTACATCATCTATCCTGTTTATAAAACTTTATTTTTCATCCACACATGACTCACCCTACCCCCTCCTTTTAGGCCACTTTATAAAAACCTGTTTTTCGGGATTACTTAACCTATTATTTGTTATACTCTGTCTAGTTAAACTTTGTTTCTACCCATAAAAATCTGCTGAGTTCTGTACTTTTGTTTCCAGGCACAGTCGTCTGATTTTCCTACAAACAGTCAATCCTCTTCACTGTTAATTATTGAATAATTTACATTATCACTGTTTAAGCTACTCTTAGTTTGTGCCAATTACTCCTTGTCATCATGGTTGAAGTATGTTCAAATATTTAATGTAACTTATATTTTAGTACTATGCAGGTTGTAGCCAGTTGATAAGAATCCTCAAAATGATTTCAAAAACAAGCTCATATTATCCCGATACAAATAAAAATAATATATTGTTCTTGCCTTAATTGAATTGGAAAAATTATAAGAAAAGTCAGATTTATTCTTGTTGCACACTATAGATGTTTGGACAAGTTCTGTCCCTAGAAGAATAAGACAGTATAACTCATGTTAGAAACATCTTAAAAATTTGTGATAATTTTGCTTTTAGGGTGAAATAAGTTGTTTATTCAGAACTTTGAACGGGTTGTCACACTTTCTATATACATGCATAAAGCTAGAGGAAAGGAGTTCGATGAAACTACAATAGCTTGAAATGTAAAAAAGAGGACAAGTTACACTGAAAATAATCAGGGTGAACGGCGAGGAATACGTGGTGTGAACACAGCCTCAGAATGACTTTGAGCCACTTCACCAGAAGTCTTCAAACAATAACCTTTAGCATCCCACTGACCTCCCTCAGGCAATCTACAGCTCTTCGTGCAACTTAATTTGAGTTTCATTGGCTTCATGAGTTGACACCATGTTTTAATCTAATCACGTTCAACTCTCTTCTAACATAATACCATATCGCCTACCATTGCAGTTAGGCAGTGACATAGCAGTTAATTTATTCATCAACTGATTTATTGATCTCTCGAATCCTGATGTTGATGTACTCTTTTAAGACTCAAAACAACAAGACAAGTCTTAAGTAAAAACGGAAATTCATTTAAGATACAAAGGTGGAAGCCATACACTTAGAAAATATACAACGTTTGGTGAATAATGGCCTAATTTTGTATTGTTTTAATAAAACTTAGTTGTAAATATTTATGTTCAGTCACTAAATCTTTGTTATGCAACTGTGCGTCGGTGGCACAGTGGTTAGGACTCTCGCCGACCATGCACATGGTCCGAGGTTCGATCCCCTGCCGACACACACCTGATATCTATGGTTGGCCTGCAAAATTTGGGCTACCGATATCCTTGCAGAAAATTCCATACTTGTACCAAAAATACAGTGTGGGATCAAGCTGTAATTAAAAATTAAAAATAAAAACATGATTTTGTGGCTAAAAACATGAAGTGCCGGCAGTTTTACAACAAAGTGTTTGCCATATTCTCCCCCAAATTACTAATGAAATCCTGCTGTACATAAAAGCATGAAGTTCTAGCTCTAACTATCCAGCTGTGAGAAAACAAACAGTTTTCAAAAATACTTAGCTTTCTCTGTATGTGCAAAGAGGTTTCGAGAAAGAGCGCAGCATTTTTACGTCGTGAAATAACTTCTGATTTTGTTGTGTTGATCACATCAAAAGCATCTCAGGCTCGTTTAAAATGATTTAATTAGTTGAAGGATTGTTTTTTAATTCACTTTTCGTGAGTCTGTGTTGTTTTTATACAATTCTGTGTTTTGTTTTAAATTTTTTATCTGTGTAATTCAAATAACATACCGACATGTGTTGTACAAAAGACTGTGGACGATCGAACTGATGATGATAAGATGCAGTGTGATAACTGAAATCCATGATTTCATAAAGTTTGCACTGGCCCGTCCTACTGGCTCATAGGAAATGTACCAAGCCATCTCCATGGGTTTCCGAATTTTGCAAATATTTGTTGAGCGTTCTTATTCAGGAGGCCATAGGAGTTTTAATATCCAAGAATAAGATTAAAAAACAAGCCAGCATCTGAAACAAGTATCAGGAACGATATTTTTGGAGTAATTCGCAGGACTCATGCTAAACTGCAATCTGAAATGTTAATCATAGAAGAGGCATTGTCTCCAAAAATCTGATATGATGATGTAAAACAACTGAAAGAGCAAAGAGGGCAATTAGTCCCAGCATCGTAAGACCGGCTGAAAAAACTACTAGGACAAAGTGTAGCATATCAAGTGACAGATGGCTCCTATCTGCTGCGAGGAAAAAAATAACTTCACTTGGTCTGTACTGAAGGGTGAGAAGTTGAAAAACCGTAGGAAAGACAAAACTGTGAGGCCTAATAACGATATCTCTATGGCTGGCTATACTGTTTCGAAATCTCCTGACTCTAATTTTAGTGTGAATATTTGAAACTCGGAGGAATCAAAAGAAGTAGATCCAGTTTTTCGACGTGCGAACAGTCTCAAGGCAGTTAGCTCTATTATTCATGAACTACTTCTATAAAAAAACATATGGAACTTATATAAGAAGGGTCCTCAGAATCGACTTACGAAGTGTTGATGCTACGGAAAGTCCTCGATGACTAATGAAAATAATCCTAGGGAACAAGAGAGAAAAGAATATTTTCCTAAGCATGGCTTTTAAGGTAGAAGATGAAAAGTTGAGAATAAGGCTTGATTGATCTTTGTAGGATAAGACTGGAAGGAGTGGAGCCATAGGGTGATAGAAATTTTAAATAGAAAAGGTGAAATGGTAGTGAAGTCTCGAAAACTTATGTTCGCCAGACGTCTATTTATAAGTTGAATTAAAACGTAGGTAAACCAGTCTGCTATAAAACTCTTCCAGTCTTACGAATAATCTCCCCAATTAAGAGTATTATCTGTTAAACTACAATCCAATTTTATTGCTATTACTGAAACGTAGTTGTTAATGGGTTTGGGCATCGGTTTACTACCATTGAGCCAAATCGTCGCTAGATAAGACAAAGTTAGTGAACGAAAGGGCAGAGGAAATGCGTTATATATCCTGGATGGCAAAAAATTAGGTCAGCGTTCTCAGAAGCCCACAATGGCGGCAGTAGTGAAAATGCATGTTTTGTTATTGACTTGAACAAGGGTATTGTAACCATCGGGATTTTTTAGAGACGTCTTTCTGCCAGGTTGATGACTAAGAACTAAATCACTTCAGTGTGGAGTAGCAGAAATAGGTGTCTAATAGTAGCTGACTTTGATACCCTATATTTCTAGCCCTTTTCTCCCACTTTGACAAATTTGTGAGGTTACCACAAAAAGATGCTCAGGTTGGACACGAATAAAAATACCTTCAAATTTTGGATTTTCTCGTAGGGTGGTCATCGACCGGAACTTCTTATACGATCAAGCAGTATCAGCTCCATCTGTAGACGATTTCAAAGAGAAACCATATCTCAGCAGGGCTATATACTGCAAGGGTTGACACAGGGCACGAGTGCCTAATGCCTTCATTATTTGAATCTGAATCAGTATAAATTAATTTTTAAGGATTGTTGGGCTGTTTTATTTTCAAACGCTTTAGTAAAATGTTGCTATTCTGCCGACAAAGCTCAAATTTATTGGATTTTTTACATCTGTGAAAATAAACTCAAAGCCAGCTTCTCTGCTGAATCGGACAGATTACACTTCTTGGCCATATTCAGGCTTTATGCTATAGTAATCAGTCACTACTATTTCCATGATAAGAAGCACTATAAGACGAGCAAGAGTCTGAGTTTACCTGTCGTTATGTCATGTAAAATACTTTCAATATGACATCAAATTACCGCATTTGAGTAAAGCACTATGGCTATGACATTAAAGCACCTTTTCAATGCTAGCTCTACACTTAACGATTTAACCTAATATACAGAGTGGCCTTTAAAAGCAAATGCCAGGTTAATAAACCTATTTCAGCTTTCACATTTCAATGAAATGTTGCGAAAAAGGCAAGGAAATTCCCCTCTCAATAGAAAACAAACTATAGGCATGCAAAATGTGCAAATAATCTCCCAAAAGTATTGTTACCCATAAGTCGTTTATTATAACCCTCTTTTGTTTTTATATATAAAGCATTACTTACTTCAATAACAAGGTCACTCGTCGTTATGCACTTAACATATGTCCCAGGTAGATACAACTTAATTAGATTTGCAAGCTTCTGAATTCCAGGTCCTGTGCCACGATCACCTGAAAAATGATCTCTTTCTTAAGGGTCACTAACCCATTCCATGCCATATAATAACTGGTAGTGTTTCTGCAGAAACACATGAGGAACCAATGAAAAGTAAAATCCACGTAAACATAATATACATATCAAAAGACTGCAGCCTTGAGTTCTACAACACAAAGGGTATCCAATATCCAATATCCTGATTACGAGCTAGTATAAACCAGTGATTTCTTTGAGCTCGCTTCTTGATTGTGAGGTAGAGGTTCCAGATCTTCGGTGAGCTTCTGCGTAGTAAGTCCCGCCACTCGACTGCTTTAGCTCTGGTAGACTCCAGGAGGAGTGGTGCGGGGATTGGTCGAGATGTGGTTTGTAGTATGCAGTATGTTAGGACTGTATTGCTGCCGTGAATGGAGTTTGACCTAACTCCCGTTGGTCATTCGGTGTAGTCATAAAAGCAGAATAGTAATAATAATAATAGGTTGTAGTGTAGATAATATAGGTTGAGATAAGTGGAATAATAAAGGTGACCTAAGGAAAAGATAGAGTGAGAGAAGGCAGAATAGGTCGTGGGGATTTAGTTTGTACGCTTTTTCATTGACAGTTTGGTTTCAAATTTTATGAGGATAAGCCATTGAGACACAAACCTTGCATTTCTGCATGATTGTCTAGCTTCCGCTTAAAAATCTCCAGAGATGGCGCTGTAGTCACGGCCGCCGGTAAAGCGTTCCAGAGACGGCAAACACGAAGCGAAAAGAAATGTGATCGCACTCGAGTCTTTGGTCTCTGGTGTGCTATCCTTAGCGGGTTACCTCGTGGAAGCCTATAATCGCTTAATGGCAGGATGCTTTTATTTGGGTGGGCCTGGTCATTTAGGATCTTGTAGACGGTGATGAGGTCTCCCCTGTGCCTACGGTAACTAAGTGTGAAAAGACCTAATTTCTTTAGTCTTTCCTCATATGATTTGTTGCGGAGGCCGATCACCCATTTTGTCGCTCGTCTCTGGACACTTTCTAGAATGTTAGCATCCCTTTTGAGTAGCGGAGGTGCAATGATATTATGCACCTCAAGGTGTGGCCTCACATATGCCTTGTATAGCCTTAAGAACAGTTCGGGAGTGAGAGCTCCCAGCTGCCTGTGCATAAAGTGTAATGTTGCGTAGGCTTTGGCGACGTCCCTCGAGTAATTTCCACTGGTGTCTAGCTTTTCTGTTAGAATAAGACCTAGATCACGCTCTGATGGAACACAACTCAAGTTCTGGCCACCAAGGGTGTAATTTACACTCTGTGACCTGCCGGAATGAAGCTGCACTACTTTGCACTTCTTTAGATTGAAAGGCATTCCGTTAGCCAAAGCCCAATTTCCCAGAGTTTGCAGGTCAGCCTGCAATCTATCTGAGTCTTCCGATGAGTTTATTGCTCTCCAAATCTTTACGTCGTCAGCGTAAAGAAGCGCAGAGCAGTTTAGTTGGGGGGGCAGGTCATTGATAAAAATCAAAAACATCAACGGCCCTAGGATAGAACCCTGAGGAACCCCTGATGCCGAGGTGTGCCAGGATGATCGGATGCGGTTGACTTTGGTGCAGAATTCTCTCTCGCCTAAGTAATCTGTCAGCCATGCGAGAAGTGCTCCAGAAACTCCCGCCTTGCCTATTTTGTGAAGGAGCAGACCATGGTGAACTGTGTCGAATGCTTTCGCAAAGTCGAGAAAGATCACGTGGGCTGGTACCTTTTTGTCCCAGGATAGTGTCCAATCGTTCCAGGCTAGTAGAAGATTCGTCACGCAGGATCTTCCCCTCCTGAAACCGTGCTGTGCTTCGTGAAGAAGGTTAGTCCCATCGAAGTATTTTCTCATGTGGTCGTCAATGAGACTTTCCAATATCTTCGATACCACTGGAAGTAGAGCAACTGGTCTGTAACTGGTCACATTCTGCCGGTCACCACCCTTGAAGATAGGGGATAGGATTGCACGTTTCCATTCACATGGAAGTTTCCCTACATCAAGGGAGTGTTGGAACAGATCACTTAGGGGTTGACAGAGACTTTCTGAACACTGCTTCAGGACAGATGGTCTGATGCCATCACAACCTGAAGACTTTCCCGAAGCCAACCTTCCCAATTTTGCAAGTACCATAGCCGGGGTAATTTGAAATGTCCCCAGCAGGTTTTCGTGTGTTGGTTTTGCGATGTAATCTGGATGTTCTGTAGGGGTAATATCCTCGTTACTATTTAGTTGCCTGTGAAAGGCTAGGCTGAATGTCTCTGCCATTTCAAGACTAGTAAGAGATTTCCCATCAGAACCCACTAGATTGCATGCTCCCTGGTTGGTCGGTTTTCTTTCGGCCATAAACCTGTATAGGCTTTTGGGGTTCACGAGAAGCTTATTGGCGAGGTCTCCCTGAAATGTCCTTCTATCGCTCCGGACTCGTATGTTACATCGATTCCTGAGTTCAAGGTACACTTCATATTCGGGTTGACTCTTCGATCGTCGCCACGCGAACCAGGCTTTACGCTTCGCCTGCAGAAGGCGTTGTGTCCCTCTTTTCAGCCATGATCGTTGCTTCCTAGCTTTTGGTGAGACTAAAGGAACAGTGTCTGAGACCGCCTGGTGAATGATCTCCTTTACCACTCTCCAGTGTTCTTCTACTGTTAGCTCTGTCCATTTTTTAGGCCAGTTTGCTTCAGACAGAAGTCTTCGCATTTTGGCTAGTTGGCTTTGTTATAACACAGATAGGGCTGTGTATTGTCCCACTGTAAGCGCTCGCGGAGGACTATGTCGAATACTATGACCGCGTGGTCACTACTACCTATCCGATATCCAATATATCCAATATCGTTTTTACGAGCTAGTATAAACCAATTTGATTTCTTTGTGCCCGCTTCTTGATTGTGAGGTATAGGTTCTTGATCTTCGGTAAACTTCTGCGTAGCTTGTCCCGCCACTCGACTGTCGTAGCTTTGGTTGACTCCAAGGGGAGTAGTGCTGGGATTAATTATATATGGTTTGTAGTATGAGGTATGTTAAGACTGTTACTACTGTGATTGGAGTTGATCCTTTCGCCAGTTAGTCCTTCGGTATCGTCGACAAAAGAAAAGAGATAGTAATAATAATAGTAATAGATATAATTAGTGAAGTTATTCAGACTAGGAGACAGAAACGAAAATAGGAAACGTAACAACAGTCAGCTCATTAAGTTTAAAGAATAATATATATATCGGTAATAGTAATAATAATAATAGTAATTATAATATTAATAAGTTGTCAGGAGAGTAAGACGGGAGAGAATGTAAAGAAGTAAAATGACGAGTTTAATTATCTACCCTGATTGGTAAATGCGATTTTAAGGAGATAGGCCATTTGGATGCAGTCCTTGTATCGCTGCATGGTTGTCCAGCCTTCGCTTAAAGGCGTCCAAAGACGGTGCCATAGCTACATCTGCCGGCAACGAATCCCAGGGACGGCAAACCCGCAGTGAAAAGAAGTGGGAGCGCACCCGGGTCCTTGCCCTCTGGTGAGCTATCCTTCTGTGATTTCCACGTGGAAGCCTATACCTACTCAATGGCAGAACACCTTTGTTTGGGTGATTCTGGTCATTTTTTATTCTGTAGGCAGTAATCAAATCCCCCTAAGCCGACGGTAACTAAGTGTGAACAGGCCTAATTTCTTCAGCCTTTCATCATATGGTTTGTTTCGGATACCAACCACTCCTTTTGTTGCCCGTCGTTGGACTCTTTCCAAGAGGTTGGCATCTCTTCTCAGCATTGGGGGTGCAATAATATTATGCACCTCAAGGTGTGGCCTGACGTATGTTTTGTACAACATTAGAAAGAGCTCAATAAACAACCAACAAGACGTTCATATCAGGCTTCTGCTGTAAAATAGAAGGCTTTTGACTTTATTTTTATAATTTCTTATTTATTATGACTTGGAAGAACTAAATACGGATAGAAAAGCACATTCGTCCGGTATAATATATGGCATGCGAATCTGTGTGTTAAACGAATAAGGCTTTACTTTTTTACAATTTTTCACTGGGGCAGTCAGTGGGTATTTAAGGAAATCTCTTGTTATGCTTTTATAGGCCGAAAAGTATCAACCTAGGCGCTTAGGGTTGTCTAGAACTTATTGTTTGTGTAGTTCCACAATAAGAAACAGAATTGAGATGAAGTGCAAGTAGTAGGTGAGTGAGTACTAAGAAGTGTACCGGCCTTAATAATTTAAAACCAGTCATTGCATACGCCAAGCAAGACATTTCATATCTCATAGTTCCTTCGATGTCGACAATCTAAGTAATAAACTTATGACTTAGAATTTATACCCATTTTAAGATCAACCGGATGAGCTGTTGCTAATAATAACGTAACTCTCAATTAAAATGATACTATAGAAGTTATTTTCCACCGGAACGAACCACCGAACAGCGACACAAACGAAGTGACACCGTAATAAATAAAGTTTTGATCATCATGACGGGCTTCGAAATACTGAGTCGACAAATGAGTCCTGAAAATCGTCAGCCAAAAGCTACCTTCATATAAACTTCTCTGCTTAAGCCGACTGGTTACGCTGAGGATACGACTCCAGATTTCTAAATAATTTTCGCTCTGTCGTCCTACGTCAGTGTGCTCTTGTACGTCTCCATCCTACCTTTCTGATCCAAAAATATTTGCCATATGTGGTAAGATGGGACTGCCTTTTGAAAAGACTCTCCAATCACATCGAGCAAGCACTTTATGGATTGAGGGTCACAGATGTGCATTACCATATAGCTGAATCTATTTTCTCGTCATATCCTGTAAGTTAAAATTAACTGTGCCAGACTTACATTTCCGTAATCACTAGTGTTGGCTTTCATTTGTGTGTTTATTTGAATGGCGACACTAATTATTTCAACACATTTCCTGGGTCGATAACATGCATTTAGTTTACACCAACACTAATAAATATACTTTCATTAACTGTTGTACTCCTGAGTGTAGCTATCTCAGTTCCCGAAGTTATGGCATACGAGTGCTTGTGAACTCCGAGAGCAGATGAGACGGATGGAAATTGAGAAAATTGAAAAATGAAGATTTAGTAACACGCGCCGAACACCCAGATGATAACTACGAGCACACTGAGGCAGTGAGGGAGTAACACTATGTCACCAGTAGCAGTCACAGTCCTCATGCGGTAGGGACCAACTTCATCTCGGATGACGACAGAAAGATTTAACTCAA